CTCTTATAATTATATATATATATATCCCATATAGTTCTGCGTCTGGGTACAACCACATACTCGTTGCATAATTAAAACGAAGTGAAAGCAGTATATCTCATAAAAAAATGTAAATTCAATTGTACTTTTCCTAACATCCATGTCTTTGGCTCAATCACTATCATTATATGGTACAAGTTTGAATCATTAAATAATCAATTTTATATTAATATTTATATTTATCTTTTTTAATTAATAGATATTTATATTCAAAAAAGTTTAGAAAATCTTATCTGCTATGTTAGAGATTTTCTTTGCAGAATTGTATAAATTTTTTGCTTTGGGTGTTCTTATTAACAGGTGTCTTTATATTAAGCTCGTTCTACAATGTTGGAGACTGGAGGGCAGAGAAATCGCTGAAAGTAACGCCGCTTTTCAAATCCATTTGCTATCTCCAGCTTTTGCTTTGGAGTGTCAATGTGTTGATGGATCAAGTTCTGATCTGATCTTAATTCAGTCAATTTGAATTCGACATGTTTAATAAATGGTTCAAAAATATCAATTCAGACATGACTCGCTAGTAACCCGAACTCGACCAATTATCTCGTTTTAGTAACAAAAATTTATAACTTAAGTATAAAATTTAGCATATTTGATAAAAAAATAAGAAGATTATATCTATAAAGTATATATATATATATATAGTCAATTTTGGGTCAACTTGAATTTGATTTATTTATTAAGCTAGTCAACTCAAACTCGGATTTTTTGGATCGAATTAAGACGTCGTTTGGGACGGTTTTCTTACTGCTTCTTAAAGTAGTTTTCTAGTACAAAATTTTTAATATTTAAACTAAAAAGCTGCTTTAAGAAGTAATAAGATAGCCGTCTCAAATAAAGTTTAAATTAGACCTTTTTTTTGTGACACCCCTAAGTTGTTGTCATCAAAGCAATCATTAGTCATACCTATAGCTTTCAGTTATGCATCGCAGTCTAACTCATATTGAGTAGCAACCTTCATTTTATACGTTAAGATCATAATTGCCTCATTTTTTTCTACAAATAATTAAATATATATAATCCATAATATTATTTTTAAAAAAGTTGACTGAATTTTTATTTTGTCTTTTTTTTTTTCTCTTACAACAATTTTAATATTTTGATATTTAAGACGTTAGAAAATTTAAATACCACACCATATGACGCCTATGTATAGTGCAGGGATTGAAAAGTTATTTCAAAGCACTTTTAAATGATATTTGCTCTCTTAGGCTTGGATTGAGACAGCTTTAGGCCATTATATTTTTCTTAATTTTAAATTTTTTGATTAAAAAATAGATTTATAAAGCAGTAAGAAAGCTGTCACAAACGAAGCATTAGTATCACAATCTAAACCCTCATTTTGTATATCATAATTGTTGTGTCCCGGAATATTTGCGGTGTTAGAAAAGTATAAATTTTAACGTCTTAACTTTGTACGAAGATCCAACATGCAATCAGATATGAGATAGGGTGTAGTATTCATAAGATACACTAATATTTTTACTTGGAAAATCCTAAAAAGGGGAAAAATCACGGCGCCAAACCTAGTTTGAATGAAAACACTATTATTTGCAATCAATTACAATCGAGGCCCTTAGTTGGGGGAAGGTCTTGGCTTGATGTATAAATATACATCATATAAAGTGTATTACATGATGTGACTTTGAAAGAATCACTATTGATATGTTTATTTGGTCAGCAAAACTATAGTCGACGTGCGACAAAAGTCAGAAAGATTGTAGTATTGTAAAGGTGGTCGGAGGGACCGTAGTAGGCGGGTGATAGTGGTCAGAAAAGACAGCTGTCTGGCGACGGAGGTCAGAAGGATCGTATTCGGCAAGCGACAGATGCCATAAAGATTGTTGTTTGACGATGAATGTTGGAAGGATCGTAGTCGGCAGACGATAGTAGTCAGAAAGACTGTTGTCTGGTGAAGGAAATCGGAAGGACCATAGTGGTGACGGAGGTCGGAACTATGACGATGGGCAGAAGTTCGGAATCAAGTAGAAGTCCAACGAAAATCCGACGACGGGTAGAAAACCTAACGACGTGCCCCCCCCTTTTGGGGGTCTATTTATAGTTTTTTTAGAGTGACATGGCTAGTAAATAGAAGAAAGATCATTATAAATTGAGAGTGGTTTGAATGGACAGTCGATGTTTAATCCCTTGATCGTGGAATGTTTATTGGGCATTTGAATGCCTTAGTGATGTCAAATTTTGACGATCTTGGGCTCGTTAGATTCGTCCCGTCATTCCACTCGATTCGACCATAAGAATGTCACGTTTGGAAACTCTTTAGTAATCCAAATTATGGATTGAACCTCTTTCAAATGCACTTCGGGTCTTTGATTTGGACTCATTTGAGCTCGGAATGAGTCGAATTTGGTCCTGTTGGGTTCGTATTTTCGAGACGTTCAGTTTGACAATAAGTTTGCTGAAATCATTGTTCAGACAATCTCCGATTTAATTTTTGAAGTTTCCAACTTGATTTTGCCTCGAGATTTGTGCCCGATCAAGATAATTTTTTTGATGATATATCAATTACATAGTCAATGTATCATAGAAATGCCTTCATTGCTTTACAAGTCATGATCCTTAGAGTAAATCTCTTTTATCGGGCATGAATATTAATACTCCTAAGGGTCTTCTTAATATGCTAAGTAGTGATATTCCTAAAATAGATAATGTTGTAAGTCCGATAGAGTAAGGCTTCATTTGGGATGATTTTTTTATTGTTTTTGAAAACAATTTTTTTTTTAATAAAAAATAATTTAATTTTTGTACTAAAAAATTGATTCAAAAAACAGTAAGAAAGCCATCCCAAACGAAGCCTAACTCTGATTACTTAAACTGTGCTATCTCATTTATTTCTTTCTATAAGGAATTTCGTTTGATTTTATATTTGAAATTTAATGATGTATTAATCTTTATTTGTGTGATATATAATATATAGGCAACCGTTATGCATTTTTATATTTATAGGAATATACATATCACTTCAACCAATTTAATCCTTTCAATAATAGAAGATATGCGCATGATTCATGCAACAAAATCAATAAACCCCAAGCATTATTAACTAAAAAAATCATTTAAGAAAAAGCCAAATCTAGCTATTGATAGTACAACAATGAACTCAAACATGATGATCACCAAGCTCCAATAACAATTGTTAGAGCACCTGCTTTAACAATTATGGTCGTTAATCAAGGTTCTGCCTTAGCCACTCTCCTTGTTGTCATATGTCCGTCGTGACCCTCGATGCTTCATTCGCTCTCACGGAAGTTGTTTTTCCACTTCTTATCTCTTTTTCTTCGATTTTCTTGTAGGTTTTTTTGTTGCGTTCATCTGATTTTTTCACCTTCGGCCGCTTCTTTGGCTTGAATGGCACTCAATCGGTAGAACGACCCTAAATTTTTAAATGGGCAAAAGAATTCTCGTTCCTTTTTAGATGCCCCGTCCGGGGCTTCCTTTTATTTGGCTTTTCTTGAACTTAAAACCACTACCCATTGTAGGTTACCATGGCTATATATTTCGAAAGAAGAGATCCTTTCTCTTGAGGCCATTTCATATATGCTTTGATTGTTAAATTCCCAAGTCTTCAACCTGTTCTAAACTCAGATTCACAATTTTTTTCTTTAATGTCAAGCTAATCGGTGATTTTTCGATTACTCTCTTGAATCCTATGCGTGTTTTGATTAAGCTAATGAATTAATTGGATTACAATAGAGTTTTTTCTCATCCCCTTTTCTCTCCTCATATACTTGACGGACTGAGATCGCTATTTAGTCGCCATTAAAAACTAATAACACTATTTCGTCTAGATCGCAACCCTTTGTTGCTTGTGTGATGGATGAATTAGAAATCACAAAATGTTATCCCGAACATGTGTGGCTTGGCCCTGAAAATTTTGGATATATTAAATATGTTGAAATAGAGGAGTTCCCTTCCTTTTGTGATCATTTCTAATATTTGGGGCATTTTAAAGTTAATTGTCATATCCTTCACCCCCATTTAAATAAAATTTCCATGAACATCCCAAAGCCAATATTTTTTGTTGATAAGGGTACCAATAATTTAGATCATAAGGGATGTTGTTGCTCAAGAAACTGTGGAAATTCTTAATATTGTTGACCCAGTGCTGGCTCATGTTATGGGGTCTTCTGATGTTTATCAGGTATAGTTAAATGTGCCTTTGGGAGATGTTGTTGACTTACTTGTGCAGGTGCCTTTGGGTCCTGGGGCGGAACCAGCCTTTCATCTTAGGGGGGGCCTTGCGATTCACGAAGCCAGATGAACAGTTCCTCTCTTGCGCGAACGACGAATCACCGAGCTTCCACGCAAATCACCGAAGCCCTGTCGTGACTGGCGTCGTGCTTTGTTCGTGGATTCGGCGGGTTAGGGCAAAGGGGGGGGGCAAAATAACAAATTTATGGGGTCAAGTTACTAATTGCCCTTCTCTAATAAATTTTTTTTTAAGGGGGGGCAATTGCCCCCCTAAACCGTGAACAGTTCCACCCCTGTTTGGGTCCATCTGATCGTATGATGATGCCTGATAGTTTGAATGTTTCTAATAAAGTGCTTATAATTGACATACATATTTTCACTATTTCTGATGATGCGTTGATTGATTTGGGTTTGGTGAATTCGAAGTTGGATTTGCATTATAAAAAGAATATGATTGATCATTTTGTTTGGTTAGCTAAATGTGATTCATCATCTAATGAGGGCTTTGAGGAGGGTAATGATGGGCTTTGCAATGGCTCTCAGGAGGTGCATGATTTGAATGTGGAGCTAGTTGATAACGAGGGATTTTGTTATGTGTTGGTTGGTTTGGTCGTGGTTTAATTGGCTTGGGTTATCGTCGTCTGGTTTGTTGGTTGTTTGGCTCGATACATATCCCAGATGTCTGGTGTGGCTTGTTGATTCGTTATTTGGCTTGTTCTATAGCATGTTTGTCTAGTGTGTGCCGTTGGTTTGTCTATGTATTTTTCTTTTCTTTTCTTCGTTGGCTTATTCATTTGCTTTGGAGCTTCTTCATGCATGATGTGGAGCCGACTTTTTGGATCTTTGCTTGTGGGATTGATCCATCTTGGCTCCAGGGGGTTGCCTTTGATTCTGTTCTAGTTCATCCTTGGTGGTTACTAGTTATCTATGGGGTAATGTTTTGGCTTTAAACTTTTGCAGGTCAAGTTTCAATTGTTTCAGCAGCTTCCTGATCATGCATGTCCAGTGGATCCAAGCCTTATAATTTTGAAGAAAAAAAGATATATTTTTTAGCACAATACTTTATTGTATATATATACATCATTTGTTGTAATTTGCCGACCCATATACTTCATTAAGTTTGTGCATCATCATAAGAGTTTTTTATTTAAATTTTTTATAATAAAATATCTCATATTGAAGCACACGTTTATAATTTTAAAGCACAAAAATAAATCCATTGTCATTGACATATTTAGCTTGATTTAGACTTTATTTGGGACGACTTTCTTACTGTTTCTTAAAGTAACTTTTTAGCATAATTTTTTTTTTAAAACTTGTGGCTTTTACAAACCAAAAACTCTTAAATCATACCTTTTAAGATACTTAAAATATAAAATATTCAAAGTGTCCTTATTACATAAAATAAAGTATGAATGTTTAAGCTATCATAGAAGACAATGATAGCCAACAAATCAAACATGGACACCATTGCACATATATATTGCTTATGTTGCTGAATCGAGAAGATTTACGTGCGACGCCGTAGGGCAGAAGGTGACTCTGTAGTTGGTGCCGCCGGGGCAAGTGAAGGTGCTTGTCTGATCGTCCTTGGGATAGCTGTAGGCGTCCGGGCAAAGGTTCTTGAAGAACCTCGAGTAGTTGGTCGGCCCACAGCTGCCGGAGTTGCAGCAATACTTATCCGTCTTAAACACAGTGCAGGCATTATTGCACCCTCCGGGAGCCTTCAGCTCCGCCGGGCACTTCCCAATGATATCCGCCGCGCATCGGATTCCGTGGCAAGACCTGCTTGGCGTCGCCGGGCTGAAATCAAGCCCGACGTTGTACCCGTCGATGTCGGAGATGTCAAAGAAGTCGAGATTCTGGAACTGGTTGAGGGAGAACTCCGCCAAGGTGTTCGGCGGCGAGCCGTAGGCGGTGCAGGAGAGTTTTCCGCCGCAGTCGCCGGTTTGGCAATGACCGTTACCGGAGCGGTCGAAGGAGCAGCCGGTGCGTGCCCACACGCGGCCGCCGGTGGTCCCGGCCGGGACGTTGATGGTCCATGTTTGGCCTCTGTTGAGCTGCTTGCCGCCGCCGGAGGGGACCGCGGCGGCCCAGACAGTGTACGAGCATTGGTTGACGATGGTGAAGGTGGCGGCTTTGAGAGGGGTTAGGAGGGTGAGGAAGGCGAGGGGGAGGAGGATGAAGGAAATTGCTATAGAGGTGGTGGCCGTCATATTTGTTTGATTAACTGTACTGAATTGGGATTGAGGATCCTGATCGTTTATATATATAGAGGAAGCTGCAAGCTCTTAAAGAAAAGTCTGATTTTTATTCTGTGATGATGCGTGGAAAGGGTCGAGGAAGGAAGCTTTCAAAGTCTAGATGGTAAACACAATTCCACGCAACGTGTGAAATTTCTCGCATGAGCGAATACTATTCTCAGTACATAAAATATAATATGGTGATCTCCCCCAGGGGTGTCAATATTTGATCTGATCCGAAAAATTTCGGATTCGGTTCAACTCGTTTATCATACGAGTCACAAGATTCCAATCCATTTACAAAAGGATTCGGGTTGACCAGATAACCTGAAACTTACCTGGAATGGACCCCCCATCCAGCCTGCATTTTGCACTCGTGTGAGTCGTGTTTGAGAGTCCCACACCTGCGGTCATGCTGACCTTGCCTGCGTCCCGCATAGCCTAGCTTGCAGTTCGATTGGTCGCCCCCACCCAGCTCGTGTCCTGGTCGGTCCCGAACATGCATGGCAGCATACGGGTGTCCCGTACCAGCGTGAGTCGCTGGCCAATCACCTTCTACATCACAATATTCTTTTTTGTGAAATTATTATGAAAGGGGACTTAATAAAGGAGGATAGGATACATAAAGTTAACCCCATCCTTCAAAATTGATCTATTTTTCAAGTCCATAATCACCCTCTTAGCTTAATTGTATGACTCATAAGAATAACATAGTCTATCCTAAGAAATTTTTCATAATTTTTTTAAAAACTCCAAGATAATAGTTTTAATAGATAACAATTAATTAAGAAAATAGTTTTAATAAATAAAACATAGACCTTGTAAATGAGATATAGTTAGCGCAACTCCAGTCGAACGTCATTTATTTGTTTGTAGCTTCGGCGAACGTCCACCAGAATCGCAAATGGAGCATATTTTTGCGTTTTATCTCGACTGTGAACAGTGCGATGTTAATAATGGGGTCGCACTGTCACCCAAACAACAATCGAACGTCATTCTCACACTCTTATTCATAAATATAAAAACTGAGATGAGAAAGAATATATACAAAATATTCTTTTCTGATGTTAGAAATGATGTTCGGTTGAAGACGAATTACTATTTGATATGAATATTATGGTATTTTTAAGTAGAAAATAGATTTTTAGGTTGGATATGCCCTTATCTCATTACTTGAAGAAAAAAATGACTTAAATTATCATAAGTATCATAATTTGAATTTTCTCCCATTGTGGTTGAATCAGTATCGTCCTTGTTGAGCTATGATTTCTTTTCATTTTAATCTTCTTTAAAATATTTTGAACCATTTCGTTCAAGTAAGTACCTGCCCTATTTTTTAATAGGGAAGACTATTCAAAATTTCATTAAAAAATAGAGATGAATATTGCACTCTGTGTTGGAAACTTGAAGTTGCAGTAGTTGATTTCACCATTTTTTTTGAAGCTATTTGCAAGTCAAGTCTTCCACATTGCTTAATATAAAATCTATGTAGTTCTTTTATTAATAGAGGTCATGTTGAAAATATAAATCAAAATTTATTTTTTTGTATGTAGGAAATTATATGGAAGATATCTCTAGAATATGAAATAAGTTTTGGTAGTTATTAGTTGAACTTTTATTATGGAAATACTTCAAATGAAGGAAGAAAAAACAGTGCAGAATTATTTCACAAGAGTATTGACTATCGTCAATCAACTACGAAGGTATGGAGAAAAATTATAAGATGTTCGAGTGATAAAAAATTCTACCTTCAGTAAATGATAAATTTGAGCATATTGTAGTAGCTATTAAGGAAGCTAAAGATTTAGAGACAATGATTATTGATGAACTAATGGGCTCTTTAATGACTTATCAACAAAGAAAAAATAATAAAAAATATGATACTATTAAACAAGTTCTCCAATCAAAGCTCTCATTAAAAGGTGACAAAGACGACACAAAAAATAAAGATAATTCAAATGATTGAAACATTTATAGACAATGTCGTGGTCGAGGTTGAGATCGTGGTTGTGACTTTGGAAGAGCCTAGGATGTGGATGAGGACACGGTGGATATCAAAGAAATAATGAAGAAAGTCAAAACTCAAGAAATGAAGAGTGGAAGAAAGAGTCAAGATATCAAAGGTACAAAAAATCTCATGTTCATTATTATATTTGCAAGAAATTTGGTCATTATGCTAGCTTTTGAATGTTATCATAATCAAAAGAAAGCTAACCTCATTAGAGAAAAGAAAGAGAATATAGTTTTATTTTTAGCATTAAAAGGAGAAAAAGATGGAAAAGAAAATAATTAGTATTTAGATACTGGATCAATTAATCATATGTGCATAGATAAAAATATGTTCATAGAAATGGAGGCAATGGAGAGTCAAATTTATTTTGACGACTCTTTAAAAATTCTGGTAAAAGGAAAAGGTTAAATCCTTATTTTTCTTAAAGATGAAACTCATAAATTTATTTTTGAAGTTTATTATATGCTGCATATGAAAATTAATATTTTAAACTTGGTGCAATTACTTGAGAAATGATTTGACATTCATATGAAGGTTAAAAAGCTCACTATTAAAATTAATTCAAATGAATTAATTGCCGAAGTAGAGATGATAAATAATAGAATGTTTATTTCCTAATATAAAATATAGAGTAATGAAATGTTTAAAGATATGTGTGAAAAATCCATCATGACTTTGGCGTATGAGGCTTGGGCATTTAAATTTTAGAAATATAAATAATATATCGAGAAAAGAAATGGTGCATGGGTTACCAAATATAAATTATCCAAATTAAATTTGTGAAAGATGTGTATTTGAAAAACAACTTAGAAAAAATTTCCAAATGAAGCAAGCTTTAGAGCAAAGATGCCTCTTCAATTAATCCATAGAGATATATGTGGACCCATTGCTCTAGTATCTTTTGGTAAGCATCGATATTTATTAGCTTTTATTGATGATTATTTGAAAAAAAAATATGGGTTTATTTTTTGAAAGTGAAGTCAGAAGCTTTCATTATGTTTAAAACTTTCAAAGCAAGTATAGAGTAAGAAAGTGGATTTTTAATAAAATCCATCAGATCAAATCGAGGAGGTGAATTTATGTCCAAAGTATTCAAGAAATATTGTGAAGAGTTTGACATTCGACATTAGTGACAACACCGTTTTAACCCATACAAAAAGGAATAGCAAAGAGGTAAAATTGCAATATTCTTAATATGGTACAAAGCATGATCAAAAGCAAGTATATGCCTAAAAAATTTTGGGCCTAGGTGGTTACATGTGTTGTTGTCTATACACTCAATCGGTGCTAACCTCAAACTTACAGAATATGGCACCATAAGAATCATGGACAGAAAGAAAGTCAAATATATCTCATTTGAATTGAAGGTGTTTGTGAGCATTGCTTATGCGCATGTTCCTGAACAAAGAATGACTAAGTTGGATGATAGAAGCTTCAAACTCATCTTCATCGGATATCAAGTAGAATAGCAAGTATCTATGAAGCTACAAGATGAAGAAAAATTATCTACAAATTTATAAGATTCACATTCTCCAAATACTTCAAAAAATAATAAAAAACAAATGAAAGGAAGACATGAAATTGAAGAGTGCTTTATGAGGTAACTGACGAGCTTCATTTTATGTGTTTACTTGCAAATAATGTACCATTGGAATTTGAAGAAGACATAAAACATGAAAGATGGAGATGCGCTACGGATGAAGATATCAAATCTCTAGTAAAAAAAAAAATACAACATGCGAGCTCACAATATTACTAAAAGGACATAAAGCTATTGGTGTAAAATGGGTATACAAAGTAAAGAAAAATGTGAAAGTTGAATTAGAAAAGTATAAGGCACGTCTAGTAGCAAAAGTATACAAG